ATCCAAAAAACACAAAATAATAAATGCTGGAGAGGTTGTGGAGAGACTGGAACACTTATACACTGTTGGTGGGAATGTAAAATGGCACAACTACTTTCGAAATTGATTTGGTGCTTCCTGAAAAAGCTAGAAATACAAGTACCATACGATCCAGCAATACTGCTCCTTGGAATACATCCTAGAGAAGTAAGAGCTGTCACGAATAGATATATGCACACCCATGTCCACTCCAGCACTGTCCACAATAGCAAAAAGATGGAAACAACCTAGACGCCCATCAGTGGATGAATGGATAAACAAATTATGGTATACTCACACAATGGAATACTACACAACGATAAAGAACAACGATGAACCCGTGAAACATCTTCTAACATGGATGAATCTGGAAGGCATTACGCTGAGTGAAATTAGCCAGTCGCAAAAGGACAAACATTGTATAAGACCACTATTGTAAGAACTCAAGAAAAGGTTTAAACACAGAAGAAAACATTCTTTGATGGTTATGTGGGGAGGGAGAGAGAGCAATATTCACTAACTAGATAGTAGACAAGAATTATCTTAGGTGAAGGGAAGGAGAAGTCAGCACAATTGGACTAAACCAAAAGCTAAGAAGTTTCCTGAATATAACCAAACACCTCAAGGGACAGAGTAGCAGGGGAGGGGGTCTGGGGACCATGGTCAGGGGACATCTAGGTCAACCGGCATAACAAAGTTTATTAAGAAAATGTTCTGCATCCCACTTTGGTGAGTGGCGTCTGGGGTCTTAAAAGCTAGCGAAAGGCCATCTAAGATGCATCAATTGGTCCCAACCCACCTGGAGCAAAGGAGAATGAAGAACACCAAAAACACAAGCAAAATATTAGCCTAAGGGACAAAAGGGCACATAAACCAGAGACTGCATCAGCCTCAGACCAGAAGAACTAGATGATGCCCGGCTACCACCAACGACCGCCCTGACGGGGAAAACAACAGACAGTCCCTGACAGAGCAGAAAAGTCGGGTGCAGAACTCAAATTCTAGTAAAAAGACCAGACTTAATGGTCTGACTGAGACTGGACGGACCCCAGAATATATGGCCCCTGGACTCTCTGTTAGACCACAACTAAAACCATTCCCAAAGCCAAATCTTCAGACAAATATTAGACTGGACTATGAGACATAAAATGATACTCATGAAGAGTGTGCTTCTTAGCTCAAGTAGATACATGAGTCTAAATGGGCAGCTCCTGTCCAGAGGCAAGATGAGAAGGCAGAATGGGACAGGAGCTGGCTGAATGGACACAGGAAATCCAGGATGGAAAGGAGGAGTGTGCTGTCACATGGGGAGAGCTACTAGGGTCACACAGCAGTGTGTGTATAAATTTTTGTATGAGAAACTAACTTAAACTGTAAACTTTCATTTAAAGCACAATAATAACAAAGTACATTTGAAATTTCCTCCTTGGTTTTGGCAGTGACAATGGCCAAATGTATGTGGCAAAATGCTTCCTGGACGTACTAAGCCTAAATGTCTCTGCAATAAATAACAGAATGGATGGCTCTGTAGATGCTACTTGTAGATGACAAGTAACGTACTAAACTACTTACTCTGCAGGTATTAACTCCATATAAATAGAAAAAATGATAATGTTATTTAAGTCCCTGCAATAAATTTGGTATGGTGATAAACCTGAAATTGTTAACCATGTAGTTAAGTAAAAATTCCCAGAAATTAATTAATCATTTAAGAAGTATTTCAATTTTTAAGCATGGCTTTGAGGTTTATGTTGTTTGTCTCTTCAATTTTGATTGTCTGAAGTGCTACAGTTATGAACAAAAACCTCTCTGAAAATCTCTCTGAAGCACTTGTGCATAGGAGAGTAATTTTGTTCTTAAGACAGAAATGTGATTCAGTGGATAGAACACGGGCTTTTGGAGAAAGACAGGCTTGCACTTGAATCTAATCTCTGTCATTCAATTCATAGTCCCTTAAAGTGGGAATAAAATAATACCTACCCTGCAATGTTGTTAAATCCTAAGAATTAAAGGGATTGATATTAACAAAACACCTAACAAATGCTTAATAAATGTTAAGTTTCCTCCTGCTCCTTCCTCAGCTGGCAGGCAATGGATGAGCAAGCAGCATGAGAAAGGGAAAAAGGAAGAAGCCTCTTTTCTTAGGAGGTCTGACCCGCATCAGAGCTGAGGATTAACACTTAAGAGCCATTAAGGACAAAACTGAGAACAACCAATCAGCTGTTCTCTTCTTTCTCAGGAATATATGAAATTTAAGTTTATTTAAAAATTAAATATATTCACTTATTCCTCCACAGGTAGTAGATTCAGTACTGAGCTGTCGTCTTCTACGTGGGGTCAGCAGAATTTCTGAAAAACACAGAAAACATTTAGCATACTTAGAGTATCAATCTGAGTAATAGCACATCAACTCTATTAGTATGGTATTTCCTTGTTTCTCCCTTCCAGTGGGAATCCTTAGGTGGACTAGGAAGAATTTTTAAACCACCACACATTAAATCCACTCCCTGGGTACATCTTAAATCACTGGCTGGCTGCTCAGAGACAGATTTTCTTTTCAACATTATTTTTCCCCTCTAGCTTTTAATATACTTAATACTTTAGATGAGAGTTCAGAAGGTAGAGTCATAATCACAGTTTTAAAGCTGTTGAATTACTTACTTTTGTTACAGATAAGTGATTTCCTTAGTTCACTTTTGTATGTGTCTTCAGCTTCCACAATGACTTTGTGACGATCACATTGGTATGGGCAAGAGTGCAAGAGCTTGCTAAAATTTCGGCTATTCAGGGATTTTCCTACTGCTATGCAACCTAAAAGAAAACAAATTAAAGTGATGTATAGATGTTACAAAGTATCTCATAACATATCTATGAAAGCAAGTATCATTATGCTGGTAACTGAAGTCAAATCAGAAACTAAATTATAAGTACCTCAAGAAGTTCAAAGTCATGTGAGGGAGTAAAGACAACAAATACAACACAGTGAAATAAGCGCTGGGCTGGAGGTGTGAACAGATGGGATAGAGCTATGGCAACACGGAAGAGGAGCATCTAGCCTGGTCTGATTCAGAGCAGGAACCATCATTAGGGAAGACATCAAAAAAAAGTGACCCCATGCTGTGTAAACTTTCACCAAAAAGACAATAAAATATTATTTAAATAAATAAGTAAAATAAAAAGTGACCCTTAAGGCCAGTCATCATCTTCTGCTTCTTTTAACCTTTTTAATTATAGAAATTTTCAAATGTACAGAGTAAAGAGAAGAATATGATGAACCCCCATGTATCCACAACACAGGTTCAATAACTAACCTACGATCAATCATGTTTAATCTACACCACTACCTATTTTGCTCTGTCCCTCACATACATATTGGATTATGAAACCTAGTATTTGCGTTAAAATATCATTCCATCTGTAAATAACTCATATACATCCATAACAGATAAGGACTCTATTTTTTAAATAAACACACAGAACCATTATCATACCTAAGAGAATTATGCTTAATATCATCTAATATCCAGTCAGTGTTCAAATTTCTCCGTCAGTTCAACATTTCTTTTTGCATTTGGTTTGTCTAAATCATGATCCAAATAGGTCCACCATTACATTTGGTTGATATGCTGCTTGAGTTTCTTTCAATCTACATGTTCTCCCTTTCCTTCTTTTGCCATTTATTTGTTGAAGACACTGGGTCATTTGTACTACAGGGTTTCTTAAAGTCTGGGTTTTGCTGATAGCATCCTAGTTGTATCTTTTAAAATGTTTCTGTATGTCCAGTAAACTAGTAATTAGAGCTAGATGACTGATCAGGTTCAGGTTCAATTTTCTGGACAAGACTCACTCAAAGGTAGTATTGCGTCTTTTCAACTGCATCATATTAAGAGGAACATAATGTCTGACTACTTCTCTCTTTTTACGTTAATACTGATGACCATGTTCAGGTAATGTCCCCCACATCCACCCATTATAGAGTTTTCCATTAGCCTGTACCTAATGGTATTAGTGGCCCATTCTTAAAGGACTAGGAGAAGTTAGCCAGGCAGATAGATGGCTGGGGTGAAGACATTTCAGATACAGTTAACATGTGCAAAATCACAGAAGCAATGAAAAAACATGGTGTGTTCAGACAATCATAAGTAAAGTACTCTGGTGTGGCAGGAGTATACGGTATGAGAGGAGTGTAGAGAGTAAGAGGGAGAAAAGTCGAAGCTGGTGAGAGTTGCAGGAAGCCAGACCAAGAAGGGTCTTGAAAGCCATTCTAATGAATTTTAACTATCTTCCAGGCAAGGAACTGGGGAGGAATTGAAAGATATTTAGTAAGCAGGGAAGTGACACAACTTCATTTGGCTTGTGAAAAGCTCCGCTGAAGACAAGAAGATCAGTTGGGAGTTTACTTTAACGGTTCAGAAAATAAATGTAGGGATTCTGAAACAAGGCATCTACAGGGAGAATGGAAAGATTTATGAGATAAAATTGGCAGCATTTTATGAATGAGCTGTTGGGGTAAGGAAGAAGTTTAGGGTAATTTTCAAGTAATTTGGTATCTGATTAGATGACGAAGTTCGGAATGAACATGGCATATTTCCAGCAGATGGAAAGAACAAATGTATAGTAAAATTTAACAAGTGGACACAGGACAAAATTCCACAAAACTCTGAAAGCCAGGCAGAAGATTTGATTCAGTGGGTTACAGAGAGGTATTAAAGGTTCTTAAGCATGGTGACATGATAAAACCCACCAAACCCACTACCATCAAGTTGATTGCGAATCACAGTGACCCTAATAGGACAGAGTAGAACTGCCCCACAGGTTTCCAAGGCTGTAAATCTTTACGGAAGCAGGCTGCCACATATTTCTCCTGCAGAGTGGCTGGTGGGCTCAAACCACAGACCTTTTGTTAGCAGCTGAGCACTTTAACCACTATACCACCAGGGACCACAAATTAGGAGGAAAAGCTAACAGCAATATGCATATTATAGTTGGTGGATGGGCAGCCCTTGAGGCTGAAAGATTGCTAGACAATTGCTGGAGTAACTTAGACATGAAGCAAAAAGGGCCTATGAGGGAAAGAAAAAAGAACCAAGAGAGCCTAGAAACAGAAGATGTAAGGACAGATGATTTGAGGTTTGAAGACTAAGAGACCAAAAAAATAGTGGTGACACTGACAGAAATGGGGTGGCTTGGGGAGGGTAGGGCAACAAGATATCTAAGTGGTTATGTCCTGGGTGCAGCTAGAAATGGAAGAATGAGGCTATAGCCTAAGGTAGAAACCAGGTGTAGAGATTTGAAAACCATCAGCAAAATGATGGCTGAAGCCACAAAAGTAAAATGTAGAGACAGAATTGAATAAGCGCTGGAAACTGTGTCTTAGGGGGAATGCCTGTAAATAGTCGGCAGGTAGAGAAAGATAATGCAATAAATAGACTCTAAATTTCTTGAGGTGAGGACTGAGTTCTATTCATCTTTGTGTCCCAGTTTCTGCCATAGAATAAGAGCTCTATAAATGTTTGTGAAACAAATGAACGGTCAGTGAGGGAAGAAAGGACCTTAGTGAGGGAAGAAAGGACCTAGGAAAGAGCCATCTCAAAGAAACTAAGAGATGAAACCAGGTTAAGGGTTACAGAGTATCCACTCTGCCAAAAGGAACCCTTTAGACCAGAGGCGGCAAAATTTTCTGGGTTCATGGCACCTGTTACAGATTGAATTGTGTCCTCCAAAAATGTGTGTCAACTTGGCTAGGCCACGATTCCCAGTATTGTGTGATTGTCCACCATTTTGTCATCTTATGTGATTTTCCTGTGTGTTGTAAATCCTACCTCTATGATGTTAATGAGGCAGAACTCAATCTACAAGATTAGGTTGTGTGTTACGTCAATCTCTTTTGAGATACGAAAGAGAGATGTGAGCAGAGAAACAGGGGGACCTCATACCACCAAGAAAGCAATGCCAGGAGAAGAGTGCATCCTTTGGACCCAAGATTCCTGCACTGAGAAGCTCCTAGACCAGGGAAAGATTGATGACAAGGACCTTTCCCCAGAACCGACAGAAAAAGAAAGCCTTCCCCTAAGAGCTGGCCCCCTGAATGTGGACTTCTAGCCTCCTAAACTGTGAGAGAATAAAATTCTTTGTTAAAGCCATCCACTTGTGGTATTTCTGTTATAGCAGCACTAGATAACTAAGACACCACCTGTAGGGTCTCAGACATTTTTTACAGCACATTGAGGCCAAAAGAAGTATCTAACAGTTCTGTTAAGATTTAAAACAATTTAATAAGTATTAATGTTCTAACAACTTAGTAGCTATTAGAAAATAAAAAGTTTAAAGAAAAAAAATTGTATTTCATTCTTATTTACAATTACTTTCTAATGGGATATGTGCACTTAATAGGTACAGCACAACTTCTTAAACCTTGGAATCATCTTGGACACTGCCACCTTCATTTCCTATTCCATACTGACTTTCATGTGGTACTTGCTTTTTATCCCAACAACCACTGAAAATCCAGCTTCACAAAGATATAACATCAACAAAGGAAAGCAGTGTGATCTAATGCTGACACTATGAACTACCTTGAGCTAGCAGTCATTCAGTGTCCAACAGATGTTGACTATTGTTGTGTTTGCCTTATAAAATTTAAAATACTGTGTAGTGCCCCTGTGAATTCATCCCAGTGCCACATAGGTGGACAGTTTGGGAAGTGCAGCTTTAGACTACTGAGAGGAGAGGATTTCAAGGAAGTAGTAGTCAAGAGTGCAGAGTTACTAAGAGGATAAGAATTTAAGTCATTCGTTTTGGGGAGAAAAAAGAGGCTTCAAGTAACCTTTAATGTTGAAGTTTAGTAGAATGGCAATAAAAGAAAAGCCAGATTGCAAGGGGTTAAAAAAGGAATGCATACATTGAAAGAGAAGGGAGCAAGAGCAGGAATCTGGTAATAAAAGGAAGAAACAGTGGATGAACACTTAAAGGCATAGCAAATCACACAAAGTATTTGGATTTTTTTAAGATGAGGAGAACAGCATAGTTTAAGGTGTTAAAAAACGAGTTAATGGATAGACAGAAGAGAAACACTTAGCAATTACTATCATGGGGAAGAAATAAAATAGATGCGATTCAGAATACGGTTAGATATCAGCTTTAGGTTAACAGAGATAAATTCTTCATCTAAGACTGAAGGATAGTGATGTTCTGAGCTAACTGTAGCAGCTGTAATTTTCTCTATACAGCAGGGGGCAACAGTAAGAGTAAACAAAGAGGAAATATTGGAGTGTGAAAGAGGAGGTGAAGAGATGGAATAAGCACTGTGAAACCTATACAACAGCACTACATAAAAATTAAATAATGGTGCACAGAATATTAGAAATATTTATAATTTGTTGTAAATGTAAAAAGATATTGTTTAATGCTTAATGCCTATAATGTTTACAGCACAATCCAAAATACCTATCTACTTATTGGCTCTCTAAAAATATAAAAAAAAATCTATTTTAGTTAGCAAGCTTAAACCTACACATGGTATTAATGTAACAAAAAGAGAATAATAAAGTAATAATAGAAAAGTAGTTATTGTGTAGATTCACACAAACAAATATTGAGATTTCAGCCTGATGCAGATTTATATTTCCGCAGGTAGAAGGTATCAGTATTTGTATTTTATGATGATCCAGATCATTATTTCTCCAAAGAAAATGAAGTTTAATCACACAGGTAGAACTATTACAAATTCTAGTTGACTAATATCATATAAAGTTTTAATTATGAAATGACTGTAATTAAAAAAATAGTTACCTGAGCACCTATACTTCAATATTTTGGAGCAATTGTCAGTTGCTAGAAAACTGATGACTTCTTTATTTATTATATCTGAACATAATGTAAACGGATCTGGAAAAAAATTGCAAAATGCAAGATTTTTTTGATCAATGAAAAGGACCTGTCATTTGCAAGATTTATTAATTCTCAACATTTTCATAAACTTTAGACCACATCCAGTCATTCCCATGAATAAACAGAAAGGTTCCAGGGATCAATAAAAGATAACTGAGGGATTAACGCCAGAAACAGCATCAAAGGAATGGTTATATGTTAGAGGGCAGACACACCAATGTAGATTTTTAGCTACATGAGTCATTTAACTATCTGTTTTCTTGAAAAACCAAAGAAAAACATTTTTAATCATACCTGTTACTGCTAACCGCTGTTTTCTATTTTTGATGATAGAAGTTGGATGTTTAAAAACATGATCACTAAAAGAAAACAGACACCAGATTACTAAAAGCAAACATATTCTCTGGTGTATGGACAAACATTTCTGTGAGCAGTGCTGTAATTCTGGGGGTTTCGCAAGTAGAAAGAGCTAGAGACAGGATCTGCCAAAATCTACCAAATTCTGCCAAAGTAGGGTCTGCAACACTTACAGCCTTGTTTCCAGCCTGGAGTTAAACAAGACTCCAGAGAACAACAGTATTGATGCCAGCAGAACCATGGAAGAAAAAACTATAAAAGAGGAAAGGAGGAAGGAACCAGGGCAAAAAAGAAGAGAACAAAATCAGTGGGAGGAAAAAAGAGAATGCGTGCAGGATAGAAAAGTACTGACAATAATCATTTAAGGATTAAACCTTAAGCTTTTAAAAATTCTTCCTGACTCCCAAAACATTTGTGTGTCTGAACCCTGGGCTGCTGGATGAGTAAATCTAAGTTATGACGATACTTCCACAATGATAACAGGTAGTGCAGAAAAAGGCAAGAGCTGTAGACCAGAAAACAGATATAGCGATAGCTACAGCTATAGCTATCTGTCCGTGTACTGTACATATGCTGGTAGGAGGAACTACACAGGAGAAAAGAAAGGATGTAAAAGAAACTGAAAATATTAACAACTCAGGTGACATTAAATATTAAACTATTAACAATTGAGTTGAAGTACAAATAAGGCTAACTCTAACAGAAGAAGGAGGATGCGGGTGGAAGGCCAGAGGGAAAGAAGACTGGCCCAAGAGCATTATCTCACTGTTTTTCAATTCCACATCCCTGAGAAATCAAGGTATTGTCAAGAATGGTCTTGAGGAAAAAAGGGGTGGTGGTAGTATAATCCATTTTCCTCATAATGATATTTTGCCCACTCTCCCTGTAACAACTTGCCCAGAACACAACAGCATCCTCTTTAGTTTTACTTAGCACAGTAACCATCAGAGGAGAAGAGCGCAAGAAAGGATTTAAGAAGAAAAGCTACAACTCTGGGTCCAACTCCAAAAGCTACCTGTGAGGGGGAAAAGGTATGTACTGGAGATGAGATGCAGGGAACAAATGAAAGAGCAAGTCTAAGCCAGATTTTCATCACACCCTACACTAATCATAAATCTATTCCCTTTTCCATATTACACTTACATGCTGGTTTTTGCTATATTGCTGATGGATTATCAATACATGTATTATTACTTTAAGTATAGGGTTTAATTTAGGTTTTCTATTTTGAGTATAGTATCTTTTCTAAAAATCAAATCTAATCATGTCTTTCAACTTAAAATCTTCAGTGGCTCCCTATGCCCTGTGAGTTAAAATAAGTATAACATGCAAGGCCCTAGATGACCTGGCCTATACCTCCCCATTCACACTTCTTTCCCACAACTTCCTACTTTAGGCTCCTCCCAAAACCATATTTTAGCATTTCTATATCCCCAGTGCTTAGCACTATGGCACACAGCAATATACAATAAGTACTTGCTGAAAAAGTAAAACTTAGAAACAGTGATTAAACTATACCTTGACTGAGAAGCAAAATTATCTTTTTCAAAAGTTTTTTCTTCATGTAAGTTTTGATTGTAGCTTGAACTGGCTTTACATACAGTCTTATTTTTCCCACTCTCCCTATAACAAGCATTAACTGGATTTGCATTCTTTAACAGGGTCTTCATCTGGTCATCATTTGAATATGCTTTAGACATAACTCCATGCGACTTATAATTCTGAGGCTGACTAGACTGGTTTTTATCCTTATCTTTTGCTTTGGTACCTTGACCAATATTATGGGCATGGAGGTGTTTCTGAGTATTTATCTTCATAGATGAAACACTGTCCTTATATTCTTCTCTCTGTATGTGACCCTATAATGTAAAAATGACAAGTAAATTATTTCAAGATAATTCATTTGCTTTATAATCAAATTTACATTCTATCACCAATAGAATATATATGATCGGGGCAGTTCGCGTTAGTAAGAAAAAGGGAATTTATTCAACAAATGGTGTTGAGGCAATTGATCGGCATCTGGGGAAAAAATAAGTTGGATACATATCTCACAATTTATACAAAGATAAAGTTGACACGAGCCAAATATTTAAATTAATTGAATATATAAGTAAAATTATATATGTTTTAAAAGAAATCATGATATTTTAATATTCTCAAAGGGAGGAAGACCTTTCCAAGTGTTACGCAAAACCAATAAATCATAAAAAGAAAAAACTTATATATTTGACTACATAAAATTCTTTTAAAGTTCTGCTAGAGACCAAGAGAGGTATTATAAATCCCAAACCACTGAAAAAATAGAACAAAAATGTTTAATTAATAGGTCAAGATGAAATATAATATTTAAAAATTAATATAAAAGAAGACAAAAGAAAGAAAAAAAGGAATGAAGAACATATGGGACAAAAAGGAAACAAATAGCAAGATAGAAGACTTAAACCCAAACATGTCAATAATTACATTAAATGCAAATGAAGTGATTACACCAATTAAAAGGTAGAGATTGTCAGACAGGATTAAAAAGACTGAATATATGCTGTTTACAAGAAATCCATGCTAAATATAAAACACAGATAGGTTAAAAATAAAAGAATATGTCATCAACTGATGAATGGACAAACAAAATGTGGTATATCCATACAAGGGAATATTACATGGCCATAAAAAGGAATGAAGTACTACTACATGCCACAACATGAATGAACCTCGAAAACATTACGCTAAGTGAAAGAAGCCAGTCACAAAAGACCACGTATGATTCAACTTATATGAAATGTCTAAAATAGGCAAATCTATAGAGACAAAGTAAATTAGTAGTTGCTCTAGGGCTGGGGGGAGGGGACGAAAAATGGGGAGTGATAGCTTGTCATCACTTCTTTTTGAGCTGATGAAAATGTTCCAAAATTGACTGTGGTGATGGTTGTACGTATCTGTGAATGTACTAAACACCATTGAATTGTACACTTTAAATGGGTGAACTGTATAGTATGTGAATTATATCTCAATAAAGCTGTTACCAAAAATACATGTTAATATAAATAAATATAAAAAAAATTTTAAAATATACACATATATATCAGAATTTTACTCGAGTTGCTTACATTGGTGATGATTTGAATAAAATCTAAATTCCAACAATAAGGGACTGGTTAAATCAATTATGGTACACATCAACAATATATAATATTACTCAGTAATTAAAAACAATGAAATTACTAACTTGGAAACTATGTTTCTATTTTTAAAAAAATGCACGCACATAGAGTGTACATACACAGAAAAAAATGTGAAAATACATGTGCGTATAGACAGATGGATAGATAATTCTCCATCCTTTCTCTTTCTTGAATTCCTGTTATTCAGATGTTATATTTCTTGGTTCTATTTTCCATGTTGCTTATCTTTTCACTCATATTCCCAGTTTTTAAAAAATATTTTTGCTCTATGCTTAGGATGATTCTTCAAGTATTATTACCGAATTTTAAATTTTAAACTATTTTAAAAGTAACTTGGCAAGGAAAATATTTTTACCCTCCAACCTCTACGGTTTAAAGATATTTGAAAAAAGTTCTATATTCTTTGAAACAAAGAAGCCAACCTCATCTCTTTCTCTTTCAAGCTGTTTTATTCTGTGTAGAATTTTCTTTGCTTTCTTCCAGTACTCTTCAAGATTCTCCTCTTTCTCATTTATGTCCTTTAATTTTTCTGCTTCATTTTCATCAAAAGAATATTCTCCTAAACTTAGAGATAATTTCTCAGCTATGTAATATGGGAAAAAATAGTGAGTTTATTCATTACTAGAAATGCTATTTTAATGCTTTTAATAGGGTCATCCTCATACCCCCTCTTCTCTAAATTTTTCCCATGCAGACTACCTTAACTACCTAACTAATACTGAAAATAAGTGGTAAAAGTGCTTGGCAGAGGTCCAGGATCCAAATATACCCATTCTTCGCTTATCAACACAGGTTCCAAAGACCAGGTCATTGTAAGAAAATTGGCATTATGTGAAAACGGAAGATGATCACATCAGATTACAAAATGGAGGATGATTACATCACTGCCAAATTACATCATTACATAACTGTCAAATTATATCATCACATAATTGCCAAACCCACTGAGAATCATGGCCCAGCCAAGGTAACACATAACCTTAACCATCATAACCAGCGTTACTCTCGCCTTCCACTTCGGCATTCGTTACTGCCAGACATATGTTGTTAAAGTGCAAAATAATAGGATAGTAGATTTTTTATTATTGTCATAAATGTGAAATATTAGATAACGAGATAGTTGATAAGTGAGGAGTAGGTATAGTAATAGATTAGACTATCCTTCAGAGTTTTAGGAAGGAGAATAGCATGAATATAAGTTATGCCAGACACATAAACACCTTCAGGTGTTTAGATACTATTTTAAAAGTAGGTTTTTTTTTTTCTTTTTTAACAGTTTATATAAAGTGGTTCCTTCTTACAATCTTTTAAATTCCTAAAATCTTTCCACATATTGAGTCAGAGCAGTTTTTCTTCTACAAAGACTAAAATCCTTACCATGGCCACTGCCCTCTGTGCTCCAGCCACACTGGCCATCAGTTCCTTGAATGCATCAGGTTTCCTCCTACCATAGGGCCTTAGTGTCTCATTGTTGCTTATGCCTGAGACACTCACCCATCACAAATTCCTTTCTTTTCACCCAATTAACTCTATACCTACAGAGCTCAGCTCAAGGCTTCTCTACCCCAAGTCTAGGTCAGATTTCTTTGTTATAGGCTCTCAGAAATCTGTGTTCCATACCTTCGTAACCGTTATGTCAATTTATAATACAGTAATACATTCATTTTTGAGATTATTCACTTACTATCTACTTCTCCAGTTAAACTGCGCTGAGTACACAGTGTGTTTTTGCTTATCGCTGTATTCCCAAAGTCTAGCACGGTGCCTGGCATATAATAGGCACTCAAACATTTTTTTAAATAAACAAATGAATGTACTTTATATTACGATTTTAAAATAAATCACCCTTAACATCCAAATTTAAGTCCTACAAACTAACTTTGTCCATATTGCATAAAAATAAGTGAATTATTTATACTTCCGCTCTGTTTCATATAGGTTCATACATGCAGACAATACCCTAGTTGTTGTGTCCAAATTATATGCTTTGTTTTTCAAATCCAAGAAGAGCCTGGTTGCTAAAGAGGCTTCACTCATTAAAGTAGAAATAAATTTCCCTTTATAAGCTCTGGCTGGTATTTTCTTAAAGTAACAGCAAACTTACTAGTTTTTTTGCAGTTGTGAAGCACAAAAGTGGCAGCTCTGTTAAGTTCCTCATTCTGCGATTCAGTTAAGGCTTGTATCATAAGTGGAAGCCCATTGTTTTTAAAAAGGTCATACTGATTTTCCTCTGAAAAACATATAAAAAATTAAAGCAGAAGACAATTATTTTATCATGAGCTATCTGCATGAGGTCATAATTCTTTCTTGTAAAAATTCTGAATATATTTCAAGAAAAAAGAAAAAACATAGTTTCAAAAGTATTTTCAACCTAGGAATTAATCCACTTACACAAAGTACCTAAATCTCGTAAGTGATGATCTAGCACTAAACCTTGTAAAAGTAGTGTCATACCTCGTAAGAGTAAACAAATCGTCCTCATGTTTGTTTGATTTTAAAGTACTGTTGTTGTTGTGTGCCATCTAGTCAATTCCAACTCACAGCGACCCTATAAGACAGAATAGAACTGCCTCACAGGGTTTCCTAGGCTGTAATCTTTATGGGAGCAGATCGCCAGGTCTTTTCCCCTATGGAGCAACTGGCGGATTCTAACCGCTGACCTTACTATTAGCAGCCAAGCACTTGACCACTGCACCACCAGGGCTCTTTTTTTAAAGTATAAAAAAAAAAACCTGTTGCCGTCAATTCCAACTCATAGCAACCCTATAGGACAGAGTAGAACTGCCCCATAGGGTTTCCAAGCAGCAGCTGGTGGATTCGAACTGCCGACCTTTTGGTTAGCAGCCATAGCTCTTAACCACTGCACCACCAGGGCTCCTTTTAAAGTACAATCAACCCTAAATTACACAGAGGTTAAGACATAGGATAGAGAAATAAACTGAAGCAGAAAAAGAAGGAAGGAAAAAGAGTGGAAAAAGCAAAAGAGAACAAAGGTAGGAGATGGAAAAGAGTGGAGGGGAGAGAGAGAAGGATTGAGGAGACTGAAGGGAGAGAAGAAAGTGCAGAGGGTTGGAAAGGGGAGGAGGAGACTGGGCAGAGGGAGAGTGGAAAGAGAGCGGACATAGGGCAGGAGGAGAGTGAGAAAGAGTAATCAGAGAGACTGAGCAGAGAGTGAAGGGGAAGGAGAACGCAAAGGGGAGGAGAAAGAACAGTGAGAGGAGAGAGCAATACCTAGAGAAAGAATCTCTGAAGGTTTTCAGCAGGGGAGAACTGGATCAATTCTGTGCAGCAGTGTGAAGAGTGGATAGAAAAATCAAGGTTAAAAAAAAAAAAGGAGCGCAGGGAGGAAATAATTGCAATAACATCAGTGAAAGATGTAGAGGGGCTGAGAGCCTAAACTGGGAAAGCAGCCCTGGAACTGCACAGAAAAGGATAGGAGGGGTAAACAGAAGTAGGACTACAGACCTTAGCGACTGACTTTGCATGCAGTGTGTGGAGGAGAATGGGGAGTTAAAACGACTGGGCCTAAGTGACTGGGAGAAAGGCAGCACTTTTATGCCTTTCATACGACTAGGAGGAGAAAAAAAGTGTATTTCTAGTTTGTTGTTTTAATAAGCACACTAAATAAATCCAATACTTACCACATGCCTCTGTGCAATGACCAAGAGTAAGAATAATGCTAAATTTTTCTTCTGAATCCAGACTTTCATGAAGCAGTAATGCCAGAAGTTTTGAAACAATATGGTACTTGGCTAGTACTACCCCAAAAGTAGCTATTAGTATAAAACAGCAAAAAAAACCAAAGATAGTAAGTACAAACTTAAAACTTACAACCATACATATACTACATATCTGCCACCCCCCCGCCACCACCGCCACAGCTTGTCCTGGGAGAAAGATATATCTATACAGTATCTAATATACATATAACATCTAACATATTTGTATTATGTATGTGTGAATATAAATAAATATAATGTAATAAGATAGTTGGCTTATATAGACCTCATTAATCCCTCTTCCCACACTAAAGATATTTTACTAATACAAATTTTTTTGAAGAATAGTTTTTTCTTAATTGTTCTGCATAATGTTATGACTATGAAGTAATACTGCCTACATAATCACATAATCAATTCCTGCCTGACACTGAAATACACTATTATCTGGTCACGGTTCTACTGTTAATGATACAATGAAGCATAACTGAAGCCAAGATCTGACAAAATTCAAGAAATCCACCACTTCAAGCTATACTTTTCCTCATGGAGCTTTTAACAGAGTCCACCCAGAGTCTAACAATACTGATATCAACAATAAGGTTGTGTATTCCTCAAGGGATTATATCTTAATCATTTTTTTGTATTTCTAGATACCACAGAGAGCCTAGCACACAGAAGGCCCTCAATACTGATTTTTTAAAAAATCATCTACTGTTTTTCAGTTATTTGTGAATGTCAATAGTTTCTTATGACAAAGATTCATAGGCCTATCATTCCTCAGTGTCTGTACATGTGAGAAGCAGCCATAGGTTCCAGTCTGCTTCTGCCACCCGCTCCTTAAGGTGCAGTGAACAAGTCAGACCTCATACTTATCAGAAAGAGGCATACCTATCTTAATTTTTCATACAATTTTTTAAAAATCTATAAACCAGGTTTTCCATTCCTTATGTCTCCAAAATGTCCTTTAAGACTGGAGAAACCCCGAGAGTATGGCTCTCAGACACCCTTTTAGCTCAATAATGAAGTCACTTCCGAGGTTCACCCTTCAGCCAAAGATTAGACAGCCCCATAAAACAGAACGAGACTAATGGGGCACAACAGCCCAGGAACAAGGACTAGAAGGCAGGAGGGGACAGGAAAGCTGGTAACAGGGAACCCAAGGTCAAGAAGGGAGAGTGTTGACATGTCGTGGGGTTGTTAACCAATGTCATAAAACAATATGTGTACTGTTTAATGAGAAATTATTTGTTCTGTAAACCTTCATCTAAAGTACAATTTAAAAAATTTTTTAAAAAAGTCCTTTGATTTCTTGATCTAAAACTTTTAAGTTAATGCTGGTTTTTAAAAGTGAAATAAAGGTTTATGAATGATAGAATCTTATCCTGATTTTATCATTAGGCTTGAATTCAGAAGACCTAGATTTGAATCCTTAGGGAAGTTATAACCTCCATGGGCAAATAAGGAGTTGGACTAGATAGTTTTCAAGGTCTCTTCCAACTTGTGAAAAACTGGAAGTCCAGTCCATGTTAGTGTACAATCTGCCATTTTGACATTTACCATGCTGAACTGAAACAAAGTACAATTGTAGAAAAATTACTGTTTTCACTCACGATTATCAGCAATACATGCATCCACTGTTTTTGTCACCACCACTGCAAGTTTAGCACTGGCAAGAGTCTTGTGTGAATCAGATTCCAGTTTCACAAGAACTTGAGATAATACATCCAATCCACCCACAGATATAAAGTATTTCTGAACATGTGCTTAAAGAATAAAGCAGCAGAACTATTAATATCTCATATCAACAAGACATTGCATTAAATATAACATTAACTTGACTTTTTCAAACACTAAAAATTTCAAAATTAGAGAATATCTAATCTTTACCTGTGTACGTACATAATCATAAAATAGATTACTTATTTTATATATAGTTGTACTTTGACAGACTACAACCATATATATATACTATATATATATATATTATATAATAATATATACATTTCAAAAACCAAACTTGTTGTTTTTGAGTCAATTCTGACTCATAGCAACCCTTATAGGAAAGAATAGAACTGCCCCATAGTTTCCAAGGGGCAGCTGGTGGATTCAAACTGCCGACCTTTTGGTTAACAGCCAAACGTTTAACCACTGTGCTATACTATATTATTATTTCTTGGGTGCTGGCCATCTTGCTTCATTTAGTAAGAACTGGTGTATTTTGCAAGAATGGCATTATTCAACTCAATATTTCTATAGCACTACAATGAATGGAATCATTCATTTTGCTTGGTATTATAATTAGTAAGTTGCCTATTTTCTGAATTCCAACATAACTCGTTCGTCAGATTGCTTGAATCTACAAAGGGCAATGAAATTGTTCCAAAAGAATACATATTTCTTCCATCTTATTTAACCTTTTTACTTCTTGAAGCATAAACTTATAACATATCGTTGAGACTCATAACAAGTATTCCAAGAAAGATTCACTAACAGTCTGGAGTCTTTTGTTCTCCCACTGAAAATGATTCTAATGAGAGAGTAGCCCGTGGGTCTGGCGATTCAATAGTCTCCACAACCCTTACCCCAGTAATGGGCATATAATGGGTATATGAGCTAGTGATTGTAATTCTGCCACAAACCTTCTTCGCAGTCTGCCCTAGTTCCATAAATAAGACCCAAGATGATTTAAAGACAAAAATTACTTTTATATTGTTCAATAAAACAGACAGATCTTAATCTAAAAACATTTTCAGAATTTTCTAAATCTGGGAAAGGAACTATTAGTAAACATTATTTAAGGGCAGGCAAATATTTTCAATATTATAGAGATCTCAGGTTTCTTTACTATTTGAAGGTTTTTTAAAAATTTCAAAAGAAGAAGTATTTTTAAATGCTTAGATGAAAACAGCACTATGCTACCACAAGATTTTTAATTATATCCTAAGTTATTCAGAGTTATAAGCAGAAGATCCTAGTCCATAATTATTGATTATACAATGAATACTTCAGATTTTCTCTAATCTGTATTTCATACCAGTGTGCTGAGGGTAATGATCACTTATTCAAGCTGGCTTTTCGAGAAAAAAATGTCAAGGCATCATGGAAATAGATTCCAATACCTGAAATTCTAGAGATATATTCCTTTCCATGTGAAACATGACTAGTTACTTTAAACATCTGAACATAGATATACACCAGCAATGTATGAAAGGTTCTAGTTGCTCCACATCCTTGCCAATATTTGATATTGTCAGTCTTTTTACATCTAGCCATGCTAATGGGTTTGTAGTGGTATTTCTTTGGGATTTTAGTTTGGATTTTCCTGATGACTAATGATATTGAGAAGGGCAGTGGTGGTTCAGTGGTAGAATTCTTGCCTTCCATGTGGGAGAATGAGCTCAATTCTCCAGTCAGTGCACCGCAGCACAGCCACCACCTGTATGTCAGTCGAGGCTTGCGTGTTGCTATGATGTGGAACAGGATTCAGTGGAGTTTCCATACTAAGAAGGACTACAAAGAAAGTCCTGGTAATCTACTTGCAAAAATCAGTCAATGAAAACTCTATGGATCCCAACGTCCAATCCTGTCATGCATGGGGTCACCATAAGTCGGGGCCAACTTGATGGCAGCTAACAACAACAATAAAGTTGTGCTTATTTTCAAGGCTCATTTAATATTCCTATCTTCTTTGGTACAGTATCTGGTTCAAATATTTTGCCCACTTTTAAATCAGGGTGTTTGCTGTCTTATTTTGATTTGTAAGAGTTTTATTTTTTGTACAGGTTCTTTATCAGTTGTATGCTTCCCAAATATTTTCTCCGAGTCTGTGACTTGCCGTTTCATTTTCTTAACAGGATCTTTTGAAGAGCAAAACAGTTTAATTTCAATGAAGTTCAAGTTACCATTTTTTTCTTTAGCGGCTTATGCTTTTTGTGTTCTAAGAAATCTTTGTCTACTCAACCTTGTGAAGATTTTCCATGTTTTTGTCTAGAAGGTTTACAGTTTTACCTCTTACATTATGTCTATGGAGCACTTCAGGTTAATTTTTGTATATTGTGTGGAAATAAGGGTTGAGAGTCATATTTTGGATATGCATATTCACTTTTCCAGCATCATTTGTTGAAAAGATTATCTTTTCCCTCACGGAATTACTTTGGCACCCTTGTAGAAAATCAAGTGACCATATATGTGTGGGTCTATTTCTGGACTCTCTACTTTGTTCCATCGGTCTATATGTCTACACTTACACCAATGCCACACTTTCTTGATGACTGTATAGTAAGAAACAAAATCAGATAATTTAAGTCCTGCAATTTCGTCCTTCTTTTTCAAAACAGCTTTTATTATTCTAGGTCCTTTACATTCCTTTGTAAATTTTAGAATCAGCTTGTTGATTTCTACAGAAGAGCCTGAAGAAATTTAATTGGGAATGTCATGAATCTAGAAATGAATCAAGGAGCCCTGAGAAGTGACATTCTAACAATACTGACTCTTACAACCCATAAGCATGATGTATCTATTAACTTAGGTCTTCTTTATCTCAGCAATGTTTTTTAGTTTTCAGCATACTGAAAATTGCACAATTTGTGTATAAATTGTTGAATGAGAAACTAATTTGTTCCGTAAACTTTCACATAAAACACAATGAAAAATTTTTAAAAAAGAATGTTTACACAGCTTGACCTAAGAAGAATGCCTTGTTCACACGTTCCCAGAGGCTAGGAAACAGAATTGATAATGTTAAGAAAGGTTGTAGTTTAACGACTCCCTTGTAACTTTTTGCCACGTCCCCTTTTGTGCCTGCTAACACATAGTCTTTGTTTGCTCTATCTGATAAAAACCTCACTGATTTCCCCGAAATTTGGAATATGGTGGCATCCTGCTTGGATGTTGTCATGGATTGAATTGTGTCCCTCAAAAATATCTGTCAACTTGGCTGAGTCATGATTCCCAGTATTGTATAATTGTGTACCATTTTGTAATCTGATGTGATTTCCTTATGCATTGTAAATTCAATCACTATGATCTAATAAGATGGATTAGTGGCAGTTATACTGATGAGGTATACAAGATTGGATAGTGTCTTAAGCCAATCTCTTTTGAGATATAAAAGAGAGAAGCGAGCAGAGACACATGGGAGCCTCATACCACCAAGAAAGCAGTGCTGGGAGTAGCATGCGTCCTTTGGACCAGAGGTTCCTGCGCAGAGAAGCTCCCAGACCAAGGGAAGATTGATGACACGGACCCTCCTCCAGAGCCAACAGAGAAAGTGTTCCCCTAGAGCTGACACCCTGAATTTGGACTTGTAGCCTACTGGATTGTGAGAGAATAAACTTCTCTTTGCTAAAGCCATCCACTTGTGGTATTTCTTATAGCAGCACTAGATGACTAAGACAGATGTTAAAGTGTATCTCGATTCACAAATCACTAGATTCCAAAATAAAACTTTTTGCTTTCCTGTCTTAAAAAAAAATTGCACCTATTAAATGTACCCCTAAACATTCAGTTTTTTGATATTATTGTAAATGACGTTTAAATTTCCAATTTTTTGTTGCTAGTATATAGAAATACAACTGATTTTTGTATCCTGACCACGTATCCTGAAACCTTGCTAAAATCACTTAGTAGTTCAGTAGCTTTTTTGTAGATTCTTGGGATTGTTCTGTATAGACAATCATGTTATAGATTATTCGAATAAATACTGTTTTTTTTCCTTCTACTATTCCCTTACTGGAGCTCTGGTAGCACAGTAGTTAAGAGCTTCAGCTGCTAATCTAAAGGTCAGCAGTTCGAATCCACCAGCCGTTCCTTGGAAACGCTATAGGTCACTTCTACTCTGCTCTATAGGGTCACTATGATTTGGAATCGAGTTGACGGCACACAACAACAACGAACAACCACAACATTCCCTTATTATCCGTATCATGTCTGTTAAGATTTATAGTGATTATCACCTCTCATTCCTGATACTGGTAATTTCGGCTGTCTCTCTTGACAGGATCAATTTTATTGATCTTTTCAAAGACCCAGCTTTCGTTCTCATTGATTTTTCTCTATTGCTATTCTTTTTCTATTCCACTGATTTCTAATCTTTTATTATTTCCTTTCCTTACACTTATTTTGAGCTCAATTTGCTCTTCATTTTCTACTTTCTTAGGTGGAAGGTAATATAACTGGCTTGAAACCTTTCTTCTTATGTAAGCGTTAATACCATATAATTTCCCTTTACATATGCTTTTGAGAATATTATGTTTTTATGCTGTCATTTTCATTATCATTCAGCTAAAAATATTTTCTAATTTCCTTTGTGATTCATTGTTTTATGGTTTTTTGTTTTTTTTTTAAGTTCTGAGTTGTTTAATTTCCAGATATTTGGGGCTTTTCTAGAGGTGCTATTTTTACCTGTTTCTAATTCAATTCTATTGTGGTCAAGAGCACACATTCTGTGGGGTTTTAGCTTTGCTATCTAGTCACTCTGCTTTATAAGGTCATCTGGGGAGATTCAAAACTATGCTGCCACCATAATCTCTCCAATATCCTCCTAACAATATCTACTTTTAAGATTTTCCTATCTGCAATAGTCTAAATGCATCCAAACTGACACAAACTACGTTTTAAAATGTTTCCTCAAGTGTAACCTGGAGAATAATGAATACTTACTATTATTTGAAAGAGTGAGTCCGATAAGTGAGCAAAGAGGGCGAATTATCTCAGGTTTCACGCAATTTATTAACCACTCATTAGCATGTAAAAAAAGTGAACAGCAAATTGTTTGATTGTCATCTGAAAGGAGAAAAAGTCAATCATGTTATGACATTTGGAAAATAACAGTTGTAGGAAATTAGAATCTCATTTCTGTTTTTATCTTTATCTTTACATTTCAATATTTGAGATAATTACCATTTTGAGGATTGTTGACACAGACACATAGAGTACTGCACACTGAAGACCATAACTGATAACTCTGGAAAACACTTTCATCTGACAAATTCAATTCATATTTTGAAAGAACTGTCCTATTAGTCAAAAAGAAAGGGAGTAAATTAATATAAATGTGTTAAGGTCTTAAGTAATGAATAATTAATGACAAGAAATTTATATTTGCTTACCTGAACAACTGTGACAGAACTTTAATACAACCTGTTTCTCTCACAAGTGTTTGTCCAATCCCTTAAAAAAAAAGCCTTCATTACACGAATATGACATTTTAAAGAAATAATTGTTTTAATAAATAATTAACTTTTAATCACTTATTTTTAAAAGTGAAGTATTACAAAGTATAACACAGAATTACGTAGATGAAAATCTGTAATCAAGATTATTATGGAAATGCAACATCTAGAATGGAATTAATGAGAACGGTGACACATTGTGAAAAATATACCCAATATCACTGAACAATATGTGTAGCAATTGTTAAATGAGAACCTAATTTGCTGTGTAAACTTTTACTGAAAACTCATCACTTAAAAAGAAGAAAATATTATGGAAAATACAATATGTATGACTAGAGATCAACAGTATTCAAATTTCCTCTAAAAACGGCAAAACACTTTATTTTGTGTACCTTTCTGTGTTAAAATACCAAAATAAGCTCCAAAATAGAAAAATATAAGCTCTATCTTTTCTATATTTTCCAAAGTATAAAAAATAAAATCTAGAAGTATTTCAAATGCTTATAGAATTGTTAACAATTTGAAGAATTATATACAGCAATGTTTTTTAAAAAAATAACCTTAGCCTGGGCAGTAGCTATACAAAAACACTCTATACTATCTGCAATTTGTCTGTAAATCTGAAACTATTCCAAAATAAAAACTTAAAAAAAAAAGCTTTGGCCAAAGGCTACATGAAATGTATGACTATTGCTGGCTGACAGACAGTAAATGCTATAACTAAAAGGTCAATTCAGTGGAAAATCAACCAAACTAATTCATTAAATGGCTCTCTTTTGCTTTTAAAGCTGTTACTTTTCAGTGTTAGGTAGTACAAATCACTTCACTATTTCTTACAATTAACCATAAATACTGAATGATTAAATGTAAGCTATTAGTTCTCTTTCTTTAACGTCAGTTCTCAGAAACTAGTGAGATAAAAAGACACTGATATACAGACTAGAATAAAAGGACTAATAATGACTGTCCCAATTTATTATCTTTAAAAATGTTTTTACAACATAAAAGAGAATATACTTACTATTATTTGAAACCAGAACCAAAATAACATAGACAGACATTCTTTTCAAATTTATGTTAGAATCATTATTAGATAGGAACGAAATTAAGTCTTCAAACAACTCTGAAGTGCACAAAGTCTGCTGACAATAAACTGAAATATAAAAACATAATTTTAATTATTATTTATGAGCACAATTTTTAAAATAGAGTGAACAAAGTACAAAGTTTTCAAACTATGAGTGGTTCTTAACCAGATTTCATTTAATTGACATTTATTAATCATACAACATAATTTTTGACAAATTGATATATGCCTCTTCAATCAGCAGACCAACGAAGCCATATCTTAATCAGAAGTACTTGATCTACGCTCCAAAATATCTCAATCCCCCGGAATTTCCAGTAAAAATCTAACTAAACAAAATATTAAAATCTACCCAAAAAAATTTAAGGGGTTGGGTGACAAAATACAGCAAGAAAAACAATTTACAAAAATTCAGAAACCTGCTTTAGAATACAGGAAAGAATTATACTGCTTCTATTTTTTTGAGACTTTTCTAGAAATAAAAATCTCTCTTCAGAAATGAAAAAATGACACTACTTGACAGTGGTTAATTTTTTGTGATAATCATGCAATAAGCAAAAAATTTTAAAATAATAATTTAAACAGAGTGATACTAATCAGCATTTTATCCAGTGTCTAGAACTGCTCAATAGAACCTCTCTCAAAGGCAAGGACTATGTCTTATTTATCCCTATATTCCCAATGCCCAGTTCTTAATAGGTAATTAATAAATGTTTTGTGAATGAAAAAACAGGAAAATAAAGCTGGTTTAGATTCAACCACATTTCAAGTATACTGCAGAATAAATATTCTTGTCAACATGAATTTCTGTATCCAAAGCAAATCTATCCAAATACAAGATGGCTGTATGTTATCTTCATCTTTCAATTAAAGCACTTGGATAAAACTATCGGGAAATTCTAAAAAGCAATTTAATTGTAAAATTATTTTTGAGTAGTTTGTTAAAGTATATGCTTGAAAGATAATGAAATAAAATTTTAATATTTTACCATTTTGTTCTGCAACAGCTCCTAATGTATATAAGGCTGCTTCTTTTACCATGCTATGGTCACTTGACTTTGCAAGATTTTTTACAAACATCAAACCACCAATTTCCCGAAAATAAACACTTGCATTACCTGTAGAGTGTACAGACAAAACAAAAAAGAAATTATCTTTATTTTGATTATTCTTTTAAGTACAAAATATCACATGAAGAAAGTAACATAATATGTACAATAACCTAGTCAAAGAGAAAAAACTACGCATATTTGAGATACCACAGTACTAATGAACTAGAATCACAGATAAAAATTCACTATTATGTCTTACTGTTTTGTTGACAAATTGAATGAATAGTGACCAAAGCTTCCTTTTGTGAAAAAGGGTTGTCCATTTGATGCTTTAGACACTCCAATAATAAGTTTAGGTCAGTCTTCATTCCTAAAGAACAAAAATTTCATTATGAAAAGCTTTTCTTTCAAAAACTAACCAATTACATTTTAATTTATAATTACATATCTGTGAAATGTGTCACTTTTAAAAAAAGCATGTATTACTTATATAATCTACAAACAATAAAGAATATAAGAAAGATGAGTGTTTCAATAAAAGAACTTAAAATGAACTTCTTAAACTTTGTTTTTCACCTTGCATGAAATATAGGAATAGAAAATTCAAATACTCTCTTTTTAAGTAAAACTACACTGGTTTAAATATTTGCCATTTAGAAATCAAAGTATTTACAACTGAATGAAAATGAAACTACATGTTAGAATTTGTGGGGTGCTAAGGAGCCCTGGTGGAGCAGTGGTTAAATGCTCAGCTGCTAACCAAAAAGTTGGCAGTTCAAATCCACCAGCTGCTCCCCAGGAGAAAGTGGCAATCTGCTTCTGTAAAGATTACGGCCTTGGTAGAGCAATAAGGCAAGAAAAAGAAATAAAGGGTATCCAAATTGGTAATGAAGAAGTTAAACTGTCCCTGTTTGCAGATGGTATGATACTATACAATGAAAACCCTAAAAACTCCATGAGTCTGGAATCAATTGGAAGATTCAGCAGAGGAGCAGGATACAAGATAAACATACAAAAATCAGTTGGATTCCTATCCACCAAGAAAGAGAACAATGAAAAGGAAAACAATACCATTTATAATAGCCCCTAAAAAAATAAAATACCTGGGAATAAATCTAACCAGGGATGTAAAAGACCTATACAAAAAAAACCACAAACACTACTGCAAGAAATCCAAAGGTTCTACATTAGTGGAAAAATATACCATGCTCATGGATAGGTAGACTCAACATAGTGAAAATGACAATTCTACCCAAAGCAATTTACAAATACAATGCAATCCTGATC